AAGGACTCGCATCACGTGCGTCACAGGCTGTGGAGCTATTGGCCAGGAGCCCAACGTGCTTTGCACCACCTGCAGTGCAGTGGCCAGAGATTCCACGTCATGTTTGATGAGACTGTCTGGTCCGCTGACTTCGAGCAAGTGCGAGGCCTCAGGAGCCGGCTTGCAAAGTTTCAAGATTTGCAGTGCAAAGTTTCAAGATTTGCAGTGACAGCTCTTCAAGTTTTGAAGAGCCCTGACCAGGAGCCAGTCTGGGCTGGTTGGCGGCTGCTGGTCGGCATCTCCTGAAACGGACTTGAGTTTTCTGCCGGTTGCCACTACCGATTTGGATAACCTTCCCTACAGCAAGCTTTCCAAGCTCACGCTGCACTTCGTAGTGAAGAGATTTGACGACTATGCTTTCACATTTGACCTTTGCGAGCTTCCGCGAGAACCAGGCATCAGCTCCGCAGCTGAGCTACTCAGCATGTGTGGCGAGTTCTTGGAGAAAGTAACACTGGCAAATGCTGGCGTGCCACCAGTGGGTTGCTCATACGATGCTGCGCCTTGCAACGGCAAAGTGAACGCATTCTTTGTGGGACTGGCAAGCGAGGAGGAGCTTGCGAAGCACATGTTCTTCCGCTATTGCTCCACCACACGGATCGGTGCCTTGTTCTACCCCTATGGGTTCCTGTCCTACCAGAAGGAGGCAAGCCGCCGCTTCATCATGGCATCCCAGCTCGGTGCGTACCACACGCAGAAACGGTTCTCGTTGCAAGCTGTGGCAGGCAGCAAGAAGCTTCGTTGGGGCGACTTCTGGGTCGACCTGAGTCCAATGATTCGGTGCGGCCTTGGCAGCAGGGCGTTCAGCTGCAACGATGTAATGTCGGACAAAGAGGGCGTGAGCCGACTTTCGACCATCTTCATGCCCAAGTCATGGGACTCCTTCGGCGCTCACTTGCACGCCTTCGTTTGCGCGCTGTTCATTTGTGGGACTACTGCCAGCCCTAGATTCCCGCGCAAAGTGATCCTCTTCAACCTCCTGGCCTGCCATTACATGGTGCTTCTCAACGTGCAGCACGCAAAGGCGAAGTTCGGCGCCGCTTGGCAAAGCCATTTCTTGGCGCTGCAGACCGTCCGCAACCTTTCCACCTTGTGCGCGGGCGGCGTGAACCAGTGCTTCATCCCACGCCTGGAGCCGGTATGCTGCCAAGAGCTGGCGATCGAGACGCACTTTTCGCGAATCAAGCAGGCTTTCAGAGGTCAGCCATCGATCCGCGACTCCATCTATGGAACGGTGATGTCCCACCTGAGGACCGCAAAGGCGCTGAAGCAGGCAAAGGAGTTTGGAAAGCGAGTGCGGCCGTCCGAACGTGATGCTGTGACTGTGGAGGAGGTCCAAGCGACTGCCAAAGCGGCGCTCGCAGCTGCCTGCCAGTTCCAGGCCTTCATTTGCGTCGACCGATCTGCCGAGAAAGTGTTCGAGGACTTGCGCGGGTGGTGGGCTGACTCGGGCTCTCAGCTTCTCCAACCGAAAGGCCAAGCCCCAACAGAAGCCGAGGATGACGATGACTTCTCAGAGCTTCTTGGGGATTTGGCTTTGGGTTTGCAGGAGGCCATCAGCCCGGAAGAGGCTCTTTGTGGTGCGCAAACAGCAAGCTTGAAAAACGAAGGAGTGTTGCTCTTGTTGAATTGGATCCGTCTTTGCCCAAGATTGGCACTGAAGGCTTTCAACAGGGCGTTTTTGGGGGAGCCCGCGTTTGAAAAAGCGCAGGTGCGCAGTCTGGAGCCTTTCAGCCAAGCAGAGGAGGTTATCACGGATGACATGCGGCTGCAGTGTCTGGAAGACAGATCCAAGGCGCTTTTTTTGGGCATGACATGCGCGGGGTTCCTGGCCTCCGTTTGATGCGCAGGTTCGGGAGCAGATCCTCAAGACGCAAGAAGAGCTTCGAACTGAAGCCCCGGAGGCCCAAGCTGCTGACCCGGAGCCCAAACCTGCCGACGTTGCGGAGAGCACGGTGGAGCGCCCAAAGCTTGACAACCTTGCTGACGGCGGCCCTCTCAAGCACACACTTCAGGCTTGACCCAGTGCGAGGAGAACCAGCAACCGATTTGTCCAATCAATCATCTTTTTGTTTTGGGGGATGTTGGTAGTACCCAATTGGCAAGCCTAACGGCCGCTCCCTCCCTGCTTCGATTGCAACATGTTCCTGAACACATGTTCAAAGCGCTGCTTCCCAGTAAGAGAGCTCTTCCCAGATGCAACTTTGGATACTGTTGGCCTTGACAACAGGCGATCCTTGAAGCTGCTGCTTCGACAGGAGGCGCAGTCTTCGATTTGGCTTCAGAAGATTCCCGTGGCGAACACGCTTGTCTCAAGCGGGCTCACGCCCTCATCCCGCACATCCGCAATTTCGTCCGCACGGTGCGCTCTGAGGAGGGCATCCTCAGCAGAGCCACGATCTGCGGCGGCAAAAGTGGCGTAGATAACGAGTGGAATCATGTGGAGCACCAACTGAGCTTGGCCCGGCAGGCTGCCAGCCTATCAGGCGCCCGAATCTCTCGAGCTGTTGCTTGGGCAGCTGCCCAGACAAAGATGTGCGAGGCCATGCCAAGCTGCCAAGCCACCGGAGAACTGGCCCTGAAGCCTGTGGACAAGTTCCGCCCAGCAATTTCAGCGGACTACCAGGTGGTGGCGTTCAAAGGCGAGCGGAATGCGATTGAGTTGGGCATCATTCTTTCCGTGTTCAGGGGCTCCATTTGCAGGAAGCAGAGCGACGGAGGGCAGCAGCGCGTGCGGGTAGCAAAGCCTATGGGGGGTGAACTGCCCATCACATCCACCGCCCGAGTGCATGTGGCCTTGCTTGACCCCAAAAATCCAGAAGAGCTTGCGTCCGGCTTTATCACACACGGTCTGAAGGCTGTACTGCTGCTTGACCCTGTGAACACGGTGCTGGGTGAGCTTGCGGCCAAGAGCGTGCAGTCGTCCGAGACGCGGCTGCACGTGTACCTTCAAGATGAGGCGATCCGCGCCTTGCTGTGCCTCAGAGACGGCTCCGTCAAGTTGCCCAAGCTTGCTGCCGGCAAGGGCGCGGCTGAGCCTGAGCCTGCGCCTCTGCCAGCTGAAGATGAGAAAGCCGGGGCGGCGTCCAAGATTGAGCATTTCAGCGACCGCAGCTTCACGAAGTCGTTAACTGGCAGCAAGAACGTGCGCAAGTTCATGGACCTCTTGCCACTCCAGTTCGAGAAGTCGGGTGTCCAGCTTGTTGACTCAGACGGCAACTGCAAGCTAAAAGCCGGCAAGGTGCCCTATGCCGAGCTGGCGTCCCGGACCAGCTCCTACTTCGAGATTGTTCTCAAGGACTCCAAAGGCTGGAACTACTCCAAGGCAGTTTTGAACAAATTCTCGGACCTCTTGCCGACGGAAGGCTGCCAGTCTGAGTCTGTAACTTTTCCCCATTGTTCTATGACATTCTGTGACCCTTTTGGCACGTGGCTTTTAGGGCAGACAGCGCAGGTTACGCTGATGTGTGCCGGAAGGAGGTGCTGAAGTTCCTTGAACATGTGAATTATGTGGCGCCAAAGATGCTGACTCTCACGAAACCGTGTGAGGAAGACTAAGTGCCAGGCCAACATGGCCGAATCGCGCGAAGCTGTGAGCAGCTTCAAGGGCTGCTGCTTGGGGGTTTGAGCGGCCACTGACTGAGCTCTCATGCCGGAAAAGGGTTGCACTTTTTGGCGGGGTTGCATCCAAGTAGGGTCCACAATTGAAATATTTCAAAGGCCACCCCCCCCAAAAAAGAAATAAGTTGCAATTTTTGGGGCCACTCCCCCCCCCCCTTTAGGGACGGGGAATGTTTGCCCGTATTTGAATCCTCACTTGTACCATGAGGCCTTGCCGCAGAGGAACTGATGACCCCCCTGCTGCTTTTTTCTTATAAATATTTTCTTGGCCCTACTTGAATCATCACTTTTTCAATCATCATGGGGGGGGCTGCCGCCCCCCCCCAACCCCCCCGCGATTTTTTGGACTTTTTGCCCCTAATTGAATCATCACTTTTTCGATCATCATGCGACCGCTCCTTTTTAGATTCTTTGCCCTTAATTTTTCGATCATCATGGGGGGGGCTGCCGCCGCCCCCAACCCCCCCGCAATTTTTTAGACTTTTTCAATCATCATGGGGGGGGCTGCCGTCGTCACTTTTTCAATCATCATGGGGGGGGCTGCCGCCACGTTTTAGGTGTTTTACAGGGATTAGTTTGCCCGTATTTGAATCCTGAGATGCGGGAAGCCAATTTGCTGGTGATGCTGGGGATGTTGGCCGGACATGCGGGGGATGTTGAAAACGATGCTGATGATGTTGACGGACTAGCGTAAAATACGTACATTTCGCGAGAAAATGCTGTAAATTACAAAACAAAAAAAACCCAAATTAAATCTCGACCCTACTTGCATTTTATGGACATATGTGTGCATACAGCCGTGCGCAGAAGTGTATATATATATATATACACTTATGCGCACGGCTTGAACATATGCATTTGCTATTTTTGTGGCGCGTTCACTTGAGCAAAACGAGCTCTCCATGAGGTATGTTCACTTTGCTTGCGGCACCTTGGGAATGTGTTCTGACGTTTGCCTATATACAAGATATGTCTGTATATATATATATATATTGGCCGAAATTCAGCCTAGTGTTTCCTTATAGTCGTTCATCCAAAACATGCCAACCATACTGTAAATACCAGTGTTTTCGAAGGGTGATATGAACTAAATACTTCAAATGTAGCTCATAGGTGGTGTGACCATAATAATATGTATATATATATATACATACATACATATATATATATATATATGTACATACATGTATATGTAGCTGTACATGTATAAATATATATATATATTTATGTATGCGTACATACACACTGTGCATATGTACATCTCTCTCTCTCTCTATATATATATACATATATATGAAAAGGTTTTGAGCAGCCAAACGCGTTTTCTGGAGTCTACACAGGAGCTCCAGGAGGCCACGCGCAAGGCGGTCCAGGAGCTTCAGCAGGTTGGGGTTGGGCGGGGGTTGGGCGGTGGGGGTTTTGGGGGTTGGGTGGCCTTGGGTTGGGGGGGATTTGCAGAATTCACCTGGTCCCGTTGAACAACACAGGTCCATCTGCACAGATTTGCGCGAGTTTGCGAACGTCACGATGGCGCGGCGGTTTTTGGGCGAGTTTGCCGGGGAGGTTTGGGAAGTGCGCCCCCCCTGCAGGCCGATGAGAAGCTGTCCAGCAGCTTGCAGGAGCTCCAGAGCAAGGTCGCCTGGCAAAAGGACCTCGAGGATCTGGATTCGCAAAGGAGAAAACAGATCCAAGTGGCACAGGCCGGACCCAGACCGGGACGCTCCGCATGCGACGGGAAGAGTCTGGCACTCATACCTCAATGGCCAAGTGGCCCATGGGCGAGTCACTTGTCAGGACCATGGGCGTGGTTTGAACACGTTGCGAAAGGCTTGCCTTGTTTGCCATCCGGCATTTCGGAGCTCAATGTATTTTCAGAAGTGGGGGGGGTGGGGTACAGCCTCAGGCTGTTTTGGTTGGGCGGTACGTTTGTCTTAGTCACGAGCCCTTTGAGTCTGCACTTCGATGGCCTGGGCAATCTCCAATCGGGCCCGATCGTGACTTGCCTCCTTTTGCCCTCAGTCAGCAAGCTAACTGGGTTGTTCCCCAATTGCGGAACGCATCGAACTAAGCAGGGTGTTCCCTCTCTCCACAATTTGTTGCTTTCCCTGCGCAAGTCTGAAAAAAAAAACTGAATTGAATTGTTATGAATCCCAGCGTTGTTGTTGGTTTCTCAACATTTGATTTTTCGATGTTTTGCTTTCAGTGGCCGTCACTGGAACCCCAATGCTTTGCATTGCGCCTTGGAGGCAGCGCCAGATTCGCCTTTTTTCCTGCTGCCTATGCTGAATGCCATGGGGTCTCCAGATGGAGGGTTCCGGATGCTTCCATGTGGTTTGGGCTAGAAGTTCGGAGGGTTTGGGGGGGGGTCCGAGCGGTTCCTGGGGTTCCGCGGAGCGGTTAAATTGGGTTCCGGAGAGTTTTATCAGCGGAAGCTTAGGTGGTATCCCGAGTAAAGGGAAGCTTTCAGCTAAGAACCCTCGGCTGCACCCACTTTGAAGCCCTCGGAACCCATCCAAGAGCCTCCACGCCACCCAACCAGAAGTCTTATGGCAGGCGGACATTGCCAGGGCGCATGACGGGATCAAGTCCCTGGGCCAGAAGGTGGACCAGAACGACCAGAGGTGCCAGGAAGTCTTCGCCAAGGCTGTGGACGTCGAGAAAAACTTCTCAAAGTTCGGGGAGCTCTTGGAGGACGTGGAAGGACGCGCGCTCAGAAAAAAAAAAAAAACGAAAATGCGCGTGTGTGTTCTGGGGATTCCCCCTCCATCCGGTTTTGGGTTCCCTACGTGACGCCATTTGTTGGAATTGTCCACGTTGACACGGAGCCCCAACGAAACGTCGCCCGAAACCCGCAGGAAGGATCAAGGAGAACCTGCGCGTGTTGGAGAAGCAGAAGTCCGACCGTCGGGAGCTGCAAGAGGAAATGTCCAATGCTTCTAGCCGCATGGATGAGCTCAAGATGACGGACGAGAACATCTCCAACGGGCTGAAAGAGCTGGCGGCAGTGGTGACTGACTTGCAGACAAGCACCAGCGACATGGCCACCAGGGCTTATGCGCAGGACAGGAGTTGAACTTGCTGGTGCGATAGGCAAGGAATGAGGGAATGACCCTCATATAAACCATCCAACTGGTGGTTTCTGCTAAGGGGACCCCTGGGTTCATTCCCAAGTTTCATACGGAGAACCAGCAAGTGAAGAGTCACATCCATGGAGGCCCAGTATGACTGTTCACACCGTAATTATTTATCCGTTGCCAGAGGGCAGGGGCTGAGTCAATGCGAGAGACAGACGTTTAACTTTACGGTGTACTATAGCAAATTTTGTTTACGTGGAGTTTTGAGTAGTTTCATTGCGCGGGGAAGGGAGGCTGGCCATGTGCCTGCCGCAAGAAACTGAAGTTATAGGGGAACGCGAGCGGCAAGTAGACCCACAGTGCATTCAGCCGGGTTGTCCATCTCATGAGAAGACGAAGGTGTCATTTTGCAAAGCCTGAAGATGTTTCTGCAGCAGATCCGGTCGCATTTGGCGATATGACCAGGAGGTCGCCAAGAAATACGCCGACGAGGTGGTCCGCGCGAGCACGGAGCGGGAGGAGATCGACGCCCTGCGCCGGGACTTGTCGGAGGAGCAGGAGCGGATCCGAGCCAACGTGAGGCGGGCCTCGGGCAGGGGGACTGCGGGCTGGGCTCCGGTCTCTTCTTTCTGCGTAGGTTTCGCCTCGGGAAAGCTGCGGGCGAGTGAGGTCACGTTGCTTTGCCTGCAATGCCGGGTGCATATAGCAGGAAGCCTTGGGAGCTGGTTTGGGCTCGCTTTCGTGGCTGCAGGCCGGCTCGCCTATTTTGTGCGCCTTGCGTAGATCATTTCTTGGACCCCTGCCACCCAGACTCTGCACAAGTTTTGCCTACCCCCGCTCACCAGAGCCTCCAAGCAGTCGTCCCCGTGAAGATTGCATCCACTCCATGGTCTCATGTGTAGTCAGGGCGCATGTTGTAGGAACACAGCTCAGCGGAGTGTCAGGCCGTGTTCTTTGCAGTTTGAAGCTCAAGTTATGGAAGATGTTCTAGATGGTGCGAAGGTGGGAGCCGATGGCTTTCGTAAAGCATGGCACTCAGGTTGCAGTATGTCCTGCTGGAGGTTTACGATGATGCATACAAGCATCTAGGCTGGGCTGCCGCTAGCATCAAGCGGCTGTACAGGCAGGACAAGTACGGAGCCTTTGCCACTCTCGACTACTTAGGCTCGAGTAGCGAGTACTACCAGTGGTATATAGACCACCCGGACCAACAAGGTGGACTAAGGCCCAACACGTACCACCACTACTGCCGCGGGCGACAAGTCGGGCAGCGCAAGGCCTTCATGGGAGGAAACCCTGTGGTGCACGTGCAGCGATGGAAAGCTCTCTCCTTTGGCGAGGTGAACAGGTTCCTGAAGCGCTGGAAGCAGCCATTCCTGGTGAACCCAGGGCCGGTGGTGACGCTGGTGGGAGCCCCGTGGCTGATGGGAAAGACACTAGGAGGGCTCGAAGCTCGAGGCGGCCTAGTCCTTCTGAAGTTTATCAGGAGGTTTTCTCGGAGGACGAGGAGGAAGAGGCAAGGAATGAGGAGCTCCAGCCCCGCAAGAGCCGGAAGAGGAAGAGTCACAAGACTGAGAGCGAGCCCTCTTCAAGCAACAGAGGTAAGCCGTTTCCCGTTAAGGCTTCCGCTCTTGACCGCATGCTGGAGGATGAAGGCGCGGCTGAAGACCAAGGCGATGCTGAGGAGCGGTTGAGCGTCTTGAAGAAGCAGCTGCAGAGCTCCTTGGGCGATGGTGGTCGTTCAAAGGAGCGGGGCAGCGCAAGCAGCATCTTAGCAGCTCGGACGCAGCAAGCGGAAGAACGAGGATGAGGGGAAGGTGATGAGGCTCCTTGCGCGTGCTCTTGAAGACCGCAAAAAGTCACGCAGACCGGGAGGTGACCCGGGAGATGACGGTGATGGTGGAGAAGATTCCGACGAGGATTCAGAGGAGGAAGATGCAGATGGCGGGCTGGTTGCAAAGAGAAAACGACTCAGAAAAATTGCAGCGGCGGAGCCTCCAACCTGCTGGGTCGATGCAGGGGTGGCCTGCGAGTGGCCGTTGTTTCCCTATTTGATGGTATCTCAGCTTTTTGAGACTTGCCCTAGCCCGCTTGCCCTGTGAGGTAGTACTGTTCGCCAGCAGCGAGACCAACGTGGCCTGCAAGCGCCTCGTCAGGAAGTGACGGCCGGGGGTGGTTGAGCTGGGCAATGTTCAGGCGATTAATTATGAGGCTGCGTGCTTCCTTATCCCCTCAACCTGACCTTGTGCTGATAGGTGCAGGATCGCCTTGTCAGGACCTGATGGGTGTCGAAAATAGTCGCAGCAAGCTGTTCTATGAAATTCCACGGGTCGTGAAGTTGTTCCGGGAGACTTTTCACTCCCCAGTGCACTTCTTTGTTGAGAACATGCTCAACATGTCTCCTGATAATCGTAGGAATACACAGAGGTTCTGGCACGCAAGCCCGTGCTCATTGACAGCAAGTACTTTTCTTGGACCCGTCGGCCTTGTCTGTTCTGGTCTTCGTGATTTTCCATCCTTCCCCAAAACCAGGAGGTCTTGCACGACCGAGGTGACCATCTTGGAATGGGAGTTTCCCATCACTAGAAGCTCCTTACAATCCTGGGTTGACCCTGGTTAACTATCAGGGGCATTTGATCCCAGCACTAACAAAGTCTTGTCCACGTAAGTCTGTGCCTAAAGCTCTGGCTGGTCTTGAACGAGCTTCCTCAGAGGCCATCTCGCGATGGGCGCAGGATGCTCACAGAGTTCAAGTGTACCAGCACGAAGCGCATTTCATGGTAAAGGAGCGTGGTGCTCTTCGGCTCCCCTCGGTGCGAGAGCGCGAGTTGCTAATGGGGTTCAACGAGGGCTATGTGAGTAACGCCCTCCCACCGAAATTGTCGCTTCAGCAGACATTTGATTTGGGGGCTTCCATGCTGGGTACTTCTTTCCACGTCACGGCGGTCGTTGTCCTCTTACACACACCCTGCTTTCTCAATATGGAGACCTTCCGGAAGGAGACTTATTAGCGGAGCTGGTCAAGCCAGGTAAAATCGCCCCGCTCTGTGAGGCTTGACGTGGGAATCCCTTACCGAATGAAGGCTTGGCCCAGGGCCGGTATACGAGCTGGGCTTTTTCTTTGGTCTATAGTCCATGGATACAAGTGGCGCATATTAACGTTCTTGAGTTGCAAGCTCTTGTCAATGCGGTGCAATGGCGATTGCGAAATAAGGATCGAGTGTGTGCTCGCATCCTTCACCTCATTGACTCCCAGGTTGTGGCCAGCCTGGTCGCCAAGGGCCGCACTAGTAGCTTTCGCTTGCAGCCGGCCTTGAGGAAACTGAACGCGCTTCTCCTAGCTGGGAGTTTGTACTTGGCTGCGGGCTACATTCACACAACAGATAACCCGTCAGACATTCCTAGCAGATGGGCAGAGCTTCCCACGCCGCCTTCAAGCGCGAGCGTCGGGAAGCCCGCAAGGGAAAAACCTTGAAAATGCACATGGTCTTTAAAGGTCTGGTTGCGCGCTACATCCATGCTGTAGGCCAATTGGTTGCTCTTTGGCGGGACTCCTTTTTGTCTCCTGATTGCACGTCTGAAATTGACGATTGTTTTTGGCTGGTGAGCCCAAGGGCTTGGGGTCCGATGGCCTGGCTGGCTTGCAATTTTTCTTGCCGCAGTGCGCTGGAAACTTGCGTCACGCTTGGAAGCTGCAAAAAGTTTGGCAGAAACTGGAGCCGCCCAGAAGGGTGCTGCCTTTGAGCCCGCTACTCGCGCGCACTTTTGCTGGCTGCTGCCTTTTACAAGGCTTTCTTGACGAGGCAGCAGGCTTTCTTGTTGGATTTGATGCCATGCTCCGCTCGGGAGAGCTTTACCAAATCCGGCGCAGGCACATAACCTTCTATGACAAACACTCTGTCATTGCACTGGTCGACACTAAAACTTCCAAGCGCACAGGCGCACAAGAGATGGTAGTCATTGAAAGCTCCGAAGCAAACAAGTATTTGCGGCTTGCTTGCCGCAAGAAATCCCCTTCAGCTTTGCTGCTGTCAGGTGGCTCCCCTAGATTCCGACATATCTTCAAGTCTTTGATTGACCTCTTCGACGTGCAAGGCTACCTCAGTGTGTACTCGCTGCGTAGGGGGGGAGCCTCGTGGGATTTTCTCTTACACGGATCCATGGAGAGGACGCTTCTTAGGGGACGATGGTCCTCGTCCACTACAGCTCGCATCTATGTGCAAGATGCTGTAGCTACTGTCTCCCACCTTCGCTTGTCAGTAGCAGCCAAGCAGATGGCAGTAACGAGGTGTGCTGTAACTTGCGGCGTGGAGTGAGGAAACCGTGGAACAGGGTAGGCCTACCTGGTGGTTGCCGGGGGGAATAGGTGTGAGGCGCTCAAAGCGGTGGCTTTGCCTTGGAGGTGGTGACCTCCTTGTCTTTTCTCGCTTTAGCGGTTGCTGATTGCGAGGCGGCTCTGCTTTCACCCCTATACTTGGCAGAGCCCGCGTGTTAAACACTTGGGCTTTGCCTTTAAGTCTTTGGCGCAGAAGGCTGCATTTGACAAAGCTCTGGCATGGAAACAGAGCGGCTGCTGTAAGGGACCAACATGTCCATGGTCAAAATGCTCATCAACCCCTTGACAAATCGACAATGACGATTCCTGGAACTGAGGGAGCCACAGGGAGTTTGACCATCTGAGAGGCGCCTCTACCTCTTTGAGCCTCCCTTAGCCCAAATCCCCATGGCAACCTCCACCCCTTACTGTCCTCTAGCTCCTTTCACTCGAAGCAATGGCCGACACGCCTTTGGTCAGTCCTCCGCATATTTTCCCCACGCTTTCGGTTGACTCGGCAACAAACAACGAATGGGGCCATAGAAATTTGGAGGTGGTGACCTCCTTGTCTTTTCTCGCTTTAGCGGTTGCTGATTGCGAGGCGGCTCTGCTTTCACCCCTATACTTGGCAGAGCCCGCGTGTTAAACACTTGGGCTTTGCCTTTAAGTCTTTGGCGCAGAAGGCTGCATTTGACAAAGCTCTGGCATGGAAACAGAGCGGCTGCTGTAAGGGACCAACATGTCCATGGTCAAAATGCTCATCAACCCCTTGACAAATCGACAATGACGATTCCTGGAACTGAGGGAGCCACAGGGAGTTTGACCATCTGAGAGGCGCCTCTACCTCTTTGAGCCTCCCTTAGCCCAAATCCCCATGGCAACCTCCACCCCTTACTGTCCTCTAGCTCCTTTCACTCGAAGCAATGGCCGACACGCCTTTGGTCAGTCCTCCGCATATTTTCCCCACGCTTTCGGTTGACTCGGCAACAAACAACGAATGGGGCCATAGAAATTTGGCTTAGTTGATGTGCAAACCTCTTGATTTGCGCATGTGAGTTGTCACCCTGAAGCTGTGTTTTCTTTGTGCACTTGGATGAAGTCAATCGCTGCCAGGCAGCAGCAGAGCAACCGGAAGGACCTCAACGGCGCGATCGAGGAGTTGAACGACCTGAGGGCGAAAGCCGTGAAGGTCGAGAAGAGCTGCGCCTCCTTGGAGGACAAGGACGGAGCGACGCCCCCCCCCCCCAAAAGTCCACTGGCCTAAGCCGGGCTGCCTCATGGATTTATACAAAATACACCGTGATTCATATTTTACACCTGCAAAGTCTTGAAGCCTTCTCTGTCAGCTTTCATAGGTTGTTGTTTGCTGAGGGTACTCCAGGTTTGGGGTCACTTTAAAGGCGCATGTGTCGAGGATGTAAAAATCCTTTGAACTCGGCCCTAGTGCGCGCAGGAAAGGAGGAATTAACATAATCATGGTGGTGGTGTGCCGTTTTTGTTGGGTTCCCCTTGTTGCTAGGTTTTGCAGGGAAGCCAAAGGACAACCGCCAATTTGGGGGTCCCCGAAAAAAAAAAAGACACACCCATGTTCCGACAAGTTGGTCCAACTTTTGTGTCAAGCGGGACGCTGGACTTAGCTTCCGCTTTCGACTTTCGGAGGTTGCCGAGGTCAAGGGTAAGGAGGCGGAGCACTGGCAGAGCATGCAGCACAGCATGAATAACCAGGCTCAAACCCATGAGGAGCTGCACAGCATCACTGCCAGACTTAGTTTTCCATTTTTTCTCCCCTGTTTGGCCCTTCCGTTGTTTTCTTCATCAGTTGTGCTCAGCCAGTCGACCGACTTAGAGGTCTCTTTGGCTGAGGCATGTGCCAGATGCTGAGAAAGGAGATCAAAGAGAACGCCGAGAGGCAGGAGAAGGAGGGCGAGAGCCTGCGGGATCAGTCCACGCGCAGATATTTGGAGCAGCTGGACAAGGCCCTGGAGCTGCACAATGGCCTCAACAAACTGGAGCTCAGTCACAAGGACTTGGATCACACGGTGCGAAATACCCGGCTCCCGGCCATCGCCTCGTGAGGTGCAAGGTGAGTGGAGCCGGGGCGGAGCCGGGGCGCGAGAGAAAGGTGTGGTTTGAAATCCATACCCGACGAAGACGGCCTGGGGCGGACTTTTTGGAATCCCATGGCGATTGTGGAAGAAAGATTGCATCGCAGCATGGAATTGTTGGAGCAGTGTAGTTTTGTGCCACTGTTGAAAGCCGCCCAGATCTGAAAGTTTGCTTAGAAGTCCATGGCAAAGCCATATGGACACTTGAGCTGGGGCTGTTGGACAGTTGATTCCCTTACTGCAAGTTGACGTATTTGGATTGCCATGAGGGCATGGGCACCTCGTCCTTGGGCATACTTGCGATATGGGAGTCAAGCGCTGTGTCTCCGTCCCTATTGGGAGAGAACATCAACATCCATTGGCTGTCTCCGGTGCAGCTTTCTAAGCTGTGAACTGGAGAGAAGTCCCATAAGGGTGTAGCCGATCGACCGCGCCTCGCAGTATGCCGCACTGAACATTCAGCATGTTTCTCGGGTTTGGGGGGTCGACATGTTAGATTTCTTCGAGGCCGGTCGCAGGTTCTTAGCGCGCGTTCAGTTGCCGCAGCCTCGTATCGACCTTCGCAAAAATGTGCCCTGCGAGTTGTTTTCCACAGACGTCCCTGATGGTGTTTTGGGATCGTTTGTTTTGGTTAGCCGCTGGGCCTGAACTGCCGCGCATATATTTGTTGCTTCGGGACTAACCCCTTGCAACAGAAGGCAACTTCTCTCGGTCTTTCTCTTAGGCACTGCCACGCAATTCAGCGCTTTGCGTGCGGGACCCCCGCGTTGCGTTCCAGGACACTCGGAATGTAGGACCGCTCGCGCACGTAAGAGGCTCAGAAGGCTGTTGACAGATGCCGGTAAGCGAGACGGGCACAAGTCCTTCTGACGTACAGATCGTTACCACCTCGATGGTTGGCATGCTTTCTTTGCCTGCTTTCCGAAATCTGTTGCCTACCTTTGGCAGGTACTCTTGGTGTCATGTCGGGTATTTTGCCATTGTACAAATATCATGGCCGATGAAATGCATTCAATCCTTCCTTCGCTACGGGTCTATTTTCCCCGTGCAGCCCCCAAGGTATGGCTGATGACTGGCAGCGCTCTAGCAATGGCTGGCGCATTTTGCTTCATCTTGCTCTCAATTTGGATGGCCATGCGCCCTGCAAGCAATGAATCGCCATGCGTTTTGGGCGCAGTTGGCTGTCAAGTTGGCCGGCAAATTGCGTTGCTCTCAGCTTAGCAGGGTGTCAGACACGGCGCCTCTGACCTTTGTTGCTGGAAGAGTGAAATCTTCTCATTCGTTCAGCTTCCCTCTAATTGGAGGTTCGGACTGGTGGTTTGGTGGTTAGGGGTGGCTTCCCATTTACCCTCAATAACCAGGGGTTCACCACCAAGGAAGGGGTGGAACTGACTTGATACCGCGGATGGACAGCATCCTCCAGTTGTTGGATGGATGAAGCCCTGCGAAAAATTGGGATAACTGCACCAGTTGAAATGAATAAAACCCTACAAAAACACCTGCTCCGCCTGGGATAGACGATATGAATAGTGGGGTTTTACCAACTGTCGCGAAGGAATAGTTACCCTCGCCCATGGTTGTTGTGGACATAAGCTCCAAATCGATGTCCACCAATTCCACCAAAATGGGCGGTTTTCTTTGGGTGTCTCGTACATACTCCAAGCCGAAGACGTTGCCCCGCTCAAAACACGTCATTCCCACGTGTCTACCAAATCCACCAACATGGGTTGTTTCCTGTTGGGTTTCCTGTATACTCCAAGCCTGAAAAAGACCTTCTCCTCTCGAACATCCATGCATCACGTAGGCGCCTTTGTGGGGCCCGATTTTGTTTTTCTGGCAGCCTCAAAGACCGTTCCAAGAATGAAAAACACGGAAAAGAACAAGTGTTTTGTACCTTTTCCAGCTAAAAAATATATAATCCTTCCCACGTGCCGCCGGCGCCTTGTTGGGGGCGTGTTTTAGGCGTGACTCGCGTGTCGAGGCACGCGGCGGTCTCCGCACAGAGCTTCGAGGCGCGGCTGCTGACGCAGATGGTGCGCCTGCCCATCCCCAGCTGGCAGGACGTGTCGACGTCGTTCGTTTTCTGGCGTCCGGAACGAGGGACGTGGGGCGTTTTCTGGGTGCATCCGATAGCCAGGGAAGGAGAAATGGAAGGACCAACCAAGAAAAACAACCATCCCTTGCTGGTGGTTTCCTTTGAGACCAAAGTCTATTCAACCACATTCCCTACCAAGGCAGCGTGGCTGTCCCGTTGGTTTCCCAATCCAAGCCTTCGGAGGTGTTCCTTTTTGATTTTCCTCTTACGGCGGCACTGTTGTGTGTGTGTGGTTGCGCCTGTCTCTTTTTTGGTGTTGGTACCTTTCTTTTGTAGGGGTGAGACCATTTTGGGGGTACCTTTCAGTGCCTTTCAGACTAGGTTGATCAGTTTGGCATGGGCTTCCTTTAATGGGGATGATGCTTAAGGCGGCGTGGGTTTGGAACCCGGGTGCAAGGCAAGGCAAGGGTCATCCGGGTATTCCCATGAATTTGTGCAGGCCCCAGATATCGATATTCCCATGTTGATTTTGACCACGCTTTTCATTGGACTTGAAGCGATCTACTAGTGGGTTCCCTTCCGTGTCCTAAACAAACCCAAACAGGATGCCAACTAAAGAGGCAGTCCCATATTCCATTAGCAACACTGTGTTCCGTTGTTGAAGGCGAGGCATTGGGGCAACGCCTGCAATCATAGAAAACGACACCACATCTGAGAACTCCTCATCGCAATGCGTTCTTGCTATTTCACATCCAAAGTCTCAAGCAAGTGCCGCCCAACTGTCCCAACCACCACTGACCTCCAGATCTTCGAGACAGCGGGGTCTAGGCAAGTAGCATTTTATGCTCAATTGGGACCCTGGAGCCTTGCCCGTGAGACAAACAGCCATCCCGGCGATCGTCTTTGGGAGAGCGCAGACACCCAGAGCTTTCTGCATGGATTCCACGGTCCAATGTGCGAGCTTGGCAGTGGCCATGTTACACCATATGCAAGCTTCACCACAGGGAAAAATGCTGCCTTGCAAACGGTTGGTATGCCACAAGCCATTCCGAATCACTAGGGCACATCCCAAACTTTTCTTGGTAGGCGCCCCGAACCCGGCTCCAAAACTCAAATCCCAGGACTCAAAGGGGTGCTTCTCAAAACCGGTCCCGTTTTTGGATGGCTTTCGGAAGCCAAAACGAGACCAACCACCTGAGGGGCTCCTTATTTTGTGGGTCCAAATCGGTGTGGAGTTTGCATCAGGAGATCGAAGCATGTAGAACCTACGCCTCAGAGTTCGAGCGCCTGGAGGGCAAGCAGATGTTCCGCAGCTTGGCGAGATCTCAGCATCCCATTTGTTCCCTTTTGGGTAGTCAGTTAATTCATTGCTTTTCTTCCAGGTGAGGTTAACCATTTCTTTTTGGTCATGCCACTTGCTGTGTTTTCTCTCTTGGGGTGATGTTTAAGGAAATATGGGGAGGTCCCAGTGGTTTCCTTTGTCCTTTTTCCTAGATCTGTGGTGGGCTGCTTCCGCTGCGCCCGAACCACCCAACACCCTGGGGAAAGCCGGGCATATACATTAGACTCATTAGACCCTGTTGATAGTGGCAAGAGTGGCTGTATATCGTTATATCTGTATATATGTTCCCGGTCCCAGGTCCGCTACCCCCCCGCCCCCCCCTCCAACCCAATGGTATCCCCCCCACTCGGCCAAGCATCCCGCAGCTAGCATTTGTCAGGTCAAGGTCACAGGCAGCATGTGAGTTAGACCCTTTTTACCTGATTGTGACTCACCTTGTGTTTGGCATGGATTGAACCCGTGGTTCAAACCTTCAGAAGCATCGATGGCTTCCAGGCATCCCCTTCGTGACGGGCAAGCAGGAGGGCCTCGTGCCTCCCAAGGAGGAGGAGGAGGAGGAGCAGGACTACGAGGGCAGCCCACGCACAGAGGCCACCACAAACAGGTGCGGGGACAGCTTGCTTTGGGGGGGGAGGGAGGGTAGTGGTTTGGGGTGGGTTGGATTGGGCTGTGGGCATTGGAAATCACGAGCGGGCTTTGAGCAGGCTTGTTGTGATAATTAGGAGTCCTTTTTGGTGGCCCCACAAGGCACCACCAAGCAAGGGTGGCAACCCAGCTTGTTTTATTGGGACACGGCTCACGTTTCAAAGCAAGGTGGAATTCTTGTTCAAGAGCTTCCTCAGCTACCCTTACTTACTTGGCGCTTTTGCTTGGTGGGATTTGCACTCCGGGCTTTTGAGTTTTGAGTCAGAAGCCGGAACACCAAACCAAACCACACCAAGTTTTCCAAGCCCCCCCGTTAAAAAAAACCCTTTTACAACCCCCCACCCCCTGACTCCCATTCCCTGCCTTAGGCGCTTCGAGGCGAGCCACGTGGACCCCTGGGGCCTCGAGGGCAGCGGCGCCAGGCTGCCCGAGATGGGCTGCAAGATGGGGCACAGCTGGGGCCTCAATCCGATCGCTCCCATGGAATCCAAGCGGAAACTCGATCGGGTCCCCCCCCCCCCCCCCCCAGAACCGAAAAACAGAAAAGAGCAAAAAGTCAACAACACCAGTTTCTGGAAGAGGACACAGAAGATCTGCGCGCAGTGCTTGATTTTGACAGGTTGTGTGGAATCGTTAACCCAAGGGGTGGTCGTCCTGGAGCCCCGTGTTCACTTCCAATTTGGACAGAGGCAAGTTGCACTTCGTGCCATGGGATGGCACATAGAAGGCAGGCAGCTGGAAGGACCCACAGCCACATGGGCGACCCGAGGCATGCAGAAGTTCCGGCACGTGAAGCTGGCGCGGCAGGCCATGGCCTTCTGGCAATCCTACGACGCCTTCGCGAGGACCCGGACTCGGGACTCGGGACTCGGGACTCGGGACTCGGAGCGCGCCAACGGGCAGGTTGGCTTAAAAGGGAAACCGAAAGGAAGCCCAGGCCAGCAGCGTATTTGAACCTTACTAACATTGGGGGATTGAGCGGGTTCTACTACATAAACGAGTTCCAGTCGCTTGCACAGGACAATCAGGTGCTGTTCGTATCCCAAAAGAACTCATTTGCGATTGAACCCATTGAACGGGTCACCCAAATGCGCCAGGTGAAGGGTGTTTGGGCCTGTGCTTTGTTGAAGGGTGCCCTTTTTCAGGTTGGTTCAAGGGGAGCCAAAAGGGACAGCTGGCAAGCCGCCATGGGGTGACAACACACTGGCACATGCCCATTTGGATACAGCAAGCACCTTTCGCGAACTTGCGAAAACCCGGCACCAAAAGATGAACATCTCCTAAACTGACGAGTTTCCCTTACCGCTTGCGCCGGTTTTCCCGGCTCCCCGAGCTCAAGATCTGAAGCTTTCAGCAGTGAAAGCAACAAAAGCAAGACAGTTCAGTGGCAACCCTTGGCCGTGTCAACTTTTTGTTTGGGGGTTCCACGAAAAAACATACCCAAACACAGGGTTCCCCCTTAGCGTTTGGGGGCCACCGGGCAGCCTGAGATGTGGTCAGGATCTGCATGAGCATTGGAGTCAACCAGCTCCTCACTGCTGCCAGCTATTTTATCTTGGCTTACTATATGACGGAGGCCGACAGTCTCGGTGGGGTTATGAGTAGTGTTAGGGTTAGGGTTGGTGCCGGGGGATAACAAATCTATATACGTGCTTGGACCTCGTGTACGAATGTATGAAGCTGGCAAAGGATCACAGCGGCAAATATTTGTTGGTGATGTGGCAGAGCAGCGCATGGCTTGGTCAGACCGAGCTTACCGTCTTTGTTTCTTCTTCTTTTTGTTTCCTTTTTTTCGTGCTCGGTAAGCACGCCTGCGCCTCGCGATGTGGATGGATGCGTGAGGCTGTTTGTAGATGGCCACTGGAACCTGGTGATCCAGCATGCAACACGTGCTCTGTTGGAAGCCCATGTTTCGTTCAGCGTAGCTTTGCAATGTTCATCCCAACCACATTCGCGAGGTGCGAGTGGCATCCTCGGCCACATATGGCGTCGCAGTGCTTACGACCATGTCCGAGACCTTGAACCGCCTTGAAGCTCGTCAGAGCCGAACTGGAGATCACCTTGCGTGGTTGTGGACGCACAAGGGGGGCGAACTGGGGAGGGGGCTATCCCTTATTAACCCTTGAATAAGGCCTTATTATCCTTGGCTTATCCTTGGCTTATCTTGGGCTCATCCACCCCATAGCCTGTTGCGGGGGTCCATGAATCTGCTTGGGGCTTGCGGGAGCTCATGTGCTTGGAGTAGGCTGATGGCAGCCTATAAGATTTGTTCGGCAGAGGTTCGCTTTGAAGCCCAACATTCACCGTGTGTCGTAGCCTTTTTGGGGTGATTTAAAGGGGAAGCCGAAGGAAAAGCGTTGCGCCATTTTGGGGGGGTCCGATTCCTATGAGACACCCCACCTCAAAACTTACCTTGAAACACTTTGCGGGCAATCCTGAAATGACCTGAACCAACGAGAGAGGCCCCAAGGCACATATATATATATATATGTATACACATGTTTCTATGTAAATATAAATACGTACTATATATATATATATATTACACGCTGACGCGACACAGCCGGCCACCGGGCACCTTGCCCTGCCCGTTCTGTCACTTCCCTTTCCTGTAATTCCGATTAGTAGATGTTAAGATGTTAATATTCTAAAAACTTTGAGATTCTAAGGGTCTCAGATTTGAAGACTTTCGGAACTTAAGGTTTGGATGGTTTAAGGATTAAGGTTTTAAGATTCAAAGATTTAAGGTTTTTGAAGGTTATAACAGCCAGGCCATTGCCCAGCCAGTTTCCATCCATTATCAGATTTCGAAGGCTTTAAGATTTTAATTTTTGGAGATTGTCAGATTTGGCGACTTTCAGAATTTAAGATTTTAAGATCTTAAGATGTCAAGACTTCAAAATTTCAAGATTAAGAGTTTAAGGAATGTAAAACATAGCCCGGATTGAAGGAATTTTAATTTATTTTACTTGTTTATGAATTTAAGATTTTCAGATTGCAATAGTTCGAGATTGAAAGAACTTAAGTGTTTAAAGCTTTTAAGATTCTGAGATTTTAAGATTTTGAGAGTTTAGGAATTTCATATTTTAAGATTTTAACATCTGAAGATTCAAAGACATTAGGGTGTTAAGAAGTCAAGATTCGAAGACTTTAGGATGTTTATATTTTCAGATTGTAAGATTCTAACTTCTAAGGTTGTAATTGCAAGATCTGAAGGTTTCAAGATTTCAAAATTTCAAGATTAAGAGCTTAAGGAATTTGAAATATAGCCCGGATTGAAGGAATGTAATATTTTAATAAATTAAGATTTTCAGATTTCAATTGTTCAAGATTTAAAGAAGTTAAGTTTTTAAAGCGTTTTAAGATTCTGAGATTTTAAGATTGTAAGACTTTAGGAGTTTCATATTTTAAGAGTTTAAGATCTCAAGGTTCTCAAGATTCTAATATTGATTGTTAGATTTTAATTTGAGATTTTAAGAATCTAAGACTTTAGGATTTGGAGATTTCAATCCACTTTAAGATTTTAAGATTTTCAGGTTGCACGTTTTCGGCAAAATTGGCCCGACATAGGGGACAACATCTCCAGCATCCCCCGCATCACCGGCATCATCCGCATCAATGTCCGCCAAGGATGCGGATGTTGCAGGTGATGCTGGGGATGTTGTCCACTATGCGCACCCCCCAAAAAACACTCTTTTTTTGACTCCGCGGGGAGATGCTCAAAAAGCCGCCAAGAATCGCTTAAACAAATCCGCAAATCCTTCGCCCCTTATAAGGGTGGGCCCAGCACAAAACGTATGCGCATGGTCGGAGCATGTTCTGCGCATGGTCGGCGGCATGGGGTGGACGGCCTTATACCTGAATCGGAGCATGTTCTGCGCATGGCCTTATACCTGAAGGTAAGCCCTGCGGGCTTTGGCCTGCGGCCCGATCACGTCCGGTGGCCGGATTTACACGCTGACGCGACACAGCCGGCCACCGGGCACCTTGCCCTGCTCGTTCTGTCACTTCCCTTTCCTGTAAGTCCGATTAGTAGATGTAAAACTTTGAGATTCTAAGGGTCTCAGATTTGAAGACTGTCGGAATTTAAGGTTTCAATGGTTTAAGAATTAAGGTTTTCAGATTCAAAGATTTAAAGTTTTTGAAGGTTATAACAGCCAGGCCATTGCCCAGCCAGTTTCCATCTATTATCAGATTTCGAAGGCTTTAAGATTTTATTTTTCGGAGATTTTCAGATTTGGCGACTTTCGGAATTTAAGATTTTAAGATCTCAGGATTTCAAGGCTTCAAAGTTTCAAGATTAAGAGTTTAAGGAATTTCCATATAGCCCGGATTGAAGGAATTTTAATTATATTTTACTTGTTTATGAAGTTAAGATTTTCAGATTGCAATAGTTCGAGATTTAAAGAACTTAAGTTTTTAAAGCTTTTCAGATTCTGAGATTTTAAGACTTTGAGAGTTTAGGAATTTCATATTTTAAGATTTTAATATCTGAAGATTCAAAGATATTCGGGTTTTAAGAAGTCAAGATTCGAAGACTTTAGGATGTTTATATTTTCAGATTGTAAGATTCGATCTTCTAAGGTTGTAAGTTTAAGATCTTGAGGTTTCAAGATTTCCAAATTTCAAGAGTAAGAGTTTAAGACTGTAGGAATTTCATATTTTAAGAGTTTAAGATCGCAAGATTCTAAGACATAAGGGTTTTAAGATTTCAAGATTCGAAGACTTTAGGATGTTTTTATATTTTCAGATTTTAAGATTCTAAGTTCGAAGATTCCGAGATTCTAAGATTGATTGTTAGATTTTAATTTAAGATTTTAAGAATCTAAGACTTTAGGATTTTGAGATTTCAATCCAGGCCATTTTCCATCCATTTTCCATCCACTTTAAGATTTTAAGATTTTCAGGTTGCACGTTTTCGGCAAAGTTGGCCCGACTTAGGGGACAACATCCCCAGCATCCCCCGAGACTTTAGGATGTTTTTATATTTTCAGATTTTAAGCTTTCGGATTTTGAGATTTCAATCCAGGCCATTTTCCATCCATTTTCCATCCACTTTAAGATTTTAAGATTTTCAGGTTGCACGTTTTCGGCAAAGTTGGCCCGACTTAGGGGACAACATCCCCAGCATCCCCCGAGACTTTAGGATGTTTTTATATTTTCAGATTTTAAGATTCTAAGTTCGAAGATTTTAAGATCTCGAGATTCTAAGATTGACTGTTAGATTTGAATTTAAGATTTTAAGAATCTAGACTTTAGGATTTTGAGATTTCAATCCAGGCCATTTTCCATCCATTTTCCATCCACTTTAAGATTTTAAGATTTTCAGGTTGCACGTTTTCGGCAAAGTTGGCCCGACTTAGGGGACAACATCCCCAGCATCCCCCGAGACTTTAGGATGTTTTTATATTTTCAGATTTTAAGATTCTAAGTTCGAAGATTTTAAGATCTCGAGATTCTAAGATTGATTGTTAAGATTTAAGATTAAGACTTTAGATTTTGAGATTTCAATCCAGGCCATTTTCCATCCATTTTCCATCCACTTTAAGATTTTAAGATTTTCAGGTTGCACGTTTTCGGCAAAGTTGGCCCGACTTCGGGGACAACATCCCCAGCATCCCCCGCATCACCGGCATCATCCGCATCAATGTCCGCCAAGGATGCGGATGATGCAGGTGATGCCGGGGATGTTGTCCACTATGCGCACCCCCCAAAAAACACTCGTTTTTTGACTCCGCGGGGAGATGCTCAAAAAGCCGCCAAAAATCGCCTGAACAAATCCGCAAATCCTTCGCCCCTTATAAGGGTGGACCCAGCTTGGCGCAGCGCAAAAGTTCGGCACATGGTCGGCGGCATGGGGCGGACGGCCTTATACCTGAAGGTAGGCCCTGCGGGCCTAGGCCTTCGGCGATGTCACGGACCACGGGGTCAGGGGCCCCCGATGGCCGGATTCAAGGGCTGCCGCCCAGTGCCGCCGACCCCTTCAGTTGGATGGGCGCCATGGCCCATCATCGTCATCATCACGGTTATCATCATCGATGATAACCATCATTATGCATCCTCTGCATCACCAACAATAATGATGATAATGATGACTGCGCATCCTCTGCATCTCCAATCGGCTCTAACGGCACTTTTGAATCGTGTATGAAAAAGATAAGGATCGTCATCATAGCCGTCGCCCATCATCGTCATCATCACCGTTATCATCATCGATGATAACCATCATCGTGCATCCTCTGCATCACCAACAGTCATGATGATAATGATGACTACGCACCCTCTGCATCTCCAATCTCATCATCACCGTTATCATCATCGATGATAACCATCATCGTGCATCCTCATTGATGATAACCATCATCGTGCATCCTCTGCATCACCAACAGTCATGATGATAACGATGACTACGCATCCTCTGCATCTCCAATCGGCTCTAACGGCACTTTTGAATCGTATATGAAAAAGATAAGGATCGTCATCATAGCCGTCATCATCACCGTTATCATCATCGATGATAGCCATCATCGTGCATCCTCTGCATCACCAATAGTCATGATGATAATGATGACTACGCGCCCTCTGCATCTCCAATCTCATCATCACCGTTATCATCATCGATGATAACCATCATCGTGCATCCTCTGCATCACCAACAGTCATGATGATAATGATGACTACGCATCCTCTGCATCTCCAATCGGCTCTAACGGCACTTTTGAATCATGTATGAAAAGATAAGGATTATCATCACAGCCGTCGCCCATCATCGTCATCATCAGCGTTATCATCATCGATGATAACCATCATCGTGCATCCTCATTCATGATAACCATCATCGTGCATCCTCTGCATCACCAACAGTCATGATGATAACGATGACTACGCATCCTCTGCATCTCCAATCGGCTCTAACGGCACTTTTGAAGTACAAGAACAAGATAAGGACCGTCGTCATCATAGACGTCGCCCATCCATCACCGTTATCATCGTCGATGATAACCATCATCGTGCATTCTCTGCATCACCA